CTTGGGCATCCAGCAAATGGCTTCTGGAAAGTGCCCGGTGTTTGCTGTACTGCTGGGTCATGCCGATACTTGGAATGTGCTTCCAGCTCATTTAATTCACAGCCATGCTGAGCTGATCTTTGGAGGCATGGAGAGGTGAGAGATTGGTGCACAGAGTTCCTTCCTTTGGTACAGCAGGGAGGAGAATAATGTGCTTTAACAGGCTTTTGGTGTTCCTGTCCTCCTCCCACTGCTGTTAGCTCAGGACGCTGCAGGCAGATGACACAGTGCTCTGGCACCCCTTTCTTTTGCCTCTAATTAACCATTGCAAAATAAATTCCGTTTGATTTCCAAGAGCTAATTTGCTTTTACCTTAATAGCAAAACCTGAAGGATGTCAGCCTGACAGCTGTTAGCTGCTCCCATTGGTACCTTGCTGCTGTTTTAGCTGCTCTGTGAATGCTGCTCTGTCTTGCAAGGCTTGCATGGCCGATAGACTGCTGCAGGCTCCGCTCTTCGTTAACAGGAGCCCTAATTTGTGCAAAAGAAAAAGCAGCATAGAAAATAAACATTTGTCAGCTGTAAGAGGATGGGTGCGTTTTCTTTAAGCCTGGCCAGCATCCTTCCCTGTGGCTGTTCCAGCCGCCTCCCAGCTGACCTGCGCCTCGTTCTCTGCTCAGAGCATCAAGGTTTGTGTGGAATTTTCCATGACTGCCTGAGCACTCTGATACATTTGTGGCAGCTCCCATTACAAAGCCGCTCTGCTTTTTCTCCTCCTTACAAAGCGTTCTAGAAATAGCAGATAGATGAACCAGTGTGTGTGCACTAAATGTGTTTATACAGTTAGTATTTAATGTAGATTTAAATCCATGGAAGCATTCACGGCCCTTTCTGAACCTTGTAATATTTACAAAGCAAATGTATCTCGTAACAGTGGAGTATTTATTTCTGTTTAGCTTTCCTGGATGTTTTCCACAGGCTGCATTCCTCTTGTTCTGGGTGGTGGCTGTGGCTCCTGCGGTGCTGCTTTGTGAGCTGCTCCTCTGACAGAATCCCTGTCTCTGACCACAGGGGTTTGTTGTCACATTGATGGATGATTATTTTTTGTTCCTGTGTGTTTTCTCAGTAGTCCTGCTCCAGGTTTGCCAGAGGGGTCTGCAAGACACTGAAAATAATGGCCAGTGAGAAAGAGTAGTTTTCTCGTATATCTTTTCTGTCCTTTTAAAGGATGCTTCAAAGGCACCAAGAAAAGAGCCAACTCTTTTATGTTTCTATATTCTGAACCCACATGTTTCACGTATTTCCTGGCAAAGGAGAAGCACATGGGAGAAATGCTGTCAGGTGGTTCTGTACTGCTGCAGCTGATCAGGACCACTTGTATCAGGTCTTCTTTGATAGTATCCAGTGTGCACGTGAGCTGGAGCATGACTTTGCTCTGATACTACACCTTCCAAAACACTGTCCTTTCCCCTCTGATAGGTCATGTGCTTTGGCCCAGCCCTCCCTATACCATAAGCTGTGTCCTTTGGCTGATGTTCTCTTTCTCGGGTTGTTTGGTTGTCTTGCAGTTGGCTGATTGCAATCTTGGCTCAGCTCAACCCCCTCTTTGGGCCGCAGCTAAGCAATGACACGATCTGGTACCTTAAAGTTCACTGGCCTTAAGGATGGTGGTTCCCTGCTGTGCTGCACTGCACTGACTAGGTGAGTATGGTCAGATCTGTTAATGCATTTGGTGTGTTGAATGGCTCAACAGTAGTGTAAGCAGGGGGTTCAGAATTGCTGGGGTTTGGGACTTAGAAATCTCTCTTTCTAGAGATTGCAACCAAACAAATGTTGGCTGTTAATTGTGACTGTGAAAAGCCCAGGCTGAATTCCTGTGCAGTTACTGCCTCTGCTATCGTGTCGTGTGGGGCTGCTTTCAGCAAACAGGTGTTTGTAGGGAGGACACTACGTTTCTTCACCCTACCAAAAAAGAGCTGGAAGGGAAGCATTCTTCTATTAACAGCTAGCATAAATGGATTTCCTCATTTTTTCCAATGAAGCCCCTCTCCTGGCCAAGCAGCCTCTCATCCAAGCATTGATTCCCAAGGCAGAGTACAGTGTTGTTCATTCACTGGGGAAGTCTGAGTGAGAATTGCAGCAGTGGCTCTCAGTCTCCCGTTGATGCACCCAACCTGCAGGTGGCTGCTCTGTTTCTAACGGTGGTGTGAGCAACTTGAATGACAGATGAACCTGCTGCTCTTTACCTGGCAGTGCTGCTGGAATGCTATTGTGGCATTTCTTGAGGCCTCTCCTGGTGTGACTTTATTAAAAAGCAGCAGGATGACTTCAGGTATCTTTGTGAAGGCAGCATTTAGAAGAGTTCAAGTGAAGGTTTTGTTGTGGAATGATGTACTCTTAACACTGAGTAATTCAGAGCTTTTTTTTCACCTGTCTTGTTTCTGTGGGTTTTCTCCCACTTCTGCAGTTCAGTTGCCTATTCCTTGGCTCTTACTGCTTTAACTTCTGTTCACAGAAGCCCAGCAGCAGCAGACGAATGACAATTGATGTTACAGTTCAGCTAAATGCTGGCTGTAGAGCATTCTGTAAATCCACCCTGAAGCAAAGCTCTGCAGATTCAAAGCAGGATTCATCTGAGCTGTGGTAGTGTCAGACTGTGGGATGTGTGATGCTTGCATCTTTTTTTTAGGCATCAAGCAGAAGCTAAAGGTAGACTTGGTCCTGCTTTGGGTGGAAGCTGTTTTAAGTACATCAGTCGAACTGAACTTCCCAGGTGCATTTCCACTGCTCGTGTGTGTTAACACAACAGTTAGCAGAAGCAGAGAGCAATCTATTCTGGTACTGGGCACACAGATCCCTGAATCCCACGGTTCCCTGAGACCTAAAATTGAACTGTAATTATCTGAACAAAAGATGCCTTGGATTTTAAATGTGGGCTTATCTGGCTGATAGATGAACTGTGTGTTGCTACCAGCAAAGACAAACGGGAGTTGGGTTACAGTGTCTGTAGACTAAATGTCTGCAAAGAGGATCGGGGCTTACCCTGCTCTGCTTTCACCCCTTTGAGAGAAGTGTTTCCCAGAGAGCTGCAGTACCTTTGTGCTGTGCAGGACGGGGATCCAATGCAGTCTGGGGTGGACAGAACGCTGATGTGAGGAGCTGACATTTTTAGACTTTCTAATGGAGAATTCAAGTTGTATGTAGCACTCATTGTGCTACATGTGAAGTATTTTTTTTTAATCTTAGCTGTGTCTGGTTTCGTTGACTTAATTTTGGAATGAAATGAAAGTTCATTTCCTTAGGAAAAAGACTGCTTTAAGAAAAAAAAAAGTATAGGATAATGCTCCACTGTTAGATACCATGTTGTTTCTTGCCTTGAGGTAGAAATAAGCTGCTCCATGGTTGAATTAGAATTACTCGTGCAGTGCTGGGTGAGCCTGGCTGCAAGGAGGGGCTGCAGCGTCTGGCACTGCTGTGTGCTGATGCACTTAAAGGCTCTGGATGAGTTTCTCACCAGGCAGGAGCTGTCAGTTAGATTACATCTGAAGGAGCTGCGTTATCTCTCTGACATTGCACAGCACTCCATAAATGCACCCACCATTTCTGGTTTTGACCAGTTACTTTTGGCTTTTAAGATGTGCTTTTGCAGCGTTCGAGTTGCATACACGTGTTCATTTCTGCCTCCAATTCCTCTTTCAGCTGAGTTGTGGATGGATTAGTATGGGCAGGGTGCAGTTACAGAGAATGAAGTGGTAACTACCAGGGAAGAGAGGCTGTGTTTAAAAAGGAAGATAAGTATAAGCAAACCTGTTTCACTTGACTAATAGAGCAGGCTGAAAAATACTTGTGGGGTGCTTACCACATCCTAATGAGGAGTGCCTACAGATGCTGACTTGCTTGGTATTTCTCTGTGGTCGCTGTCCCTCTAATTTAAATGATGATGATGGTGCCTGAGATGCCTGTCTGTATAACCATGTTCATGGCTTGAGAGCGGTACGTAACAACACGCAGCTGTACTAAATATGGGCTACAGCCCATATTTCCCATTAATCAGTGAGATGTAATGCCCACTGTTAGTCTGAAATTTGTCACTGCCGTCTGTATTCTCAGACCAGGAACCGCCTTTATGCGAGTGCAGGAAGGTCCATCATCTAGCTGACTGGATGCTCTTACTGCAGACATATTTAAACCTCTCTGGTGGCTTAATAGTTCTGTAACTGCAGTAACTTCAGAAAACTCAGCCATGAAGAAAGAAAGGAAGGAGAGATTAATCTCCTAAAATAAATTACCTACAGTTCTCGATAATTTTTAGTGCGTTTGTGGAACGCAAATCGTTGTGGATAACTCAACAAGTGGGTCTTCAACTAGTTAATCACCTCCATGGAAGTGAATAATTAAATTGCCTTTTGCTTTGCAGGTACAGAAGAGATTTCCCTCAGATGAAAAACCTCCACAGATCCAAAGATGCCCTTAACACACCTGGTGGGATACCAGTCCTGCATTAATGCCTTAACGCGTACATTGTGCTTCAGATGGCTTGTTGAAAGCCCTCTATTTTTCCTACTTTACCACTAACAGTGTGCCTCTTCTAACTCCTTCAGTACTGTACATTTTTATCTATTAACTTCAGGTATGATTAAAGTTTCTAAAGTTTTTACAGGGACGTTGCCAGTTTCCCTGTGCACTTTACTTGCTCTGCAGGAATGCTGTATCTTTGTCTCTAGCTGTTCATTCCTGTTCTGTTTGACTGCACTTGAAAAGAAGCGTCTTTATAAGAAATGAAACTGTACGAGGAGAGAGAAACAGTGTTGCCACATGTTGATGGCATTTATTTTTTAAAAGGAGTTGTGGTTTTGGGAAATGTGGTCTTAAATTTCTCATACCGGGAAATAAAAGTAATCCTCTGCTTTATGTGGAATGCTCTTGTGCCATGTTTAACTCTTCCATTGTTTTAATCGTGCAGCAGTTCTCTGGCGTTCAGCTGGGACTGCTGCTGTGCTGAAGGAGCACACTGCTGCCTGTAGCCACACTTCTTGGATAGCTCTAAAACAGAACAAAATGACTGATGGGTTCTGCAGGGAGCAGTGTTTGCTTGAGAGCCTCTCCGCCGTGAGCTTCTCACTGTCTGATCCCAGAAGGGCTGACTAGCAGAGATGGTGTGACTGGTTTGAATGGAGAGTAAATAGTGGTTTTGATAGGAGGTGAATGTAATCCCTGGCCTTCTTGGAGGTCATGTACAGTAATGAGCAGCGTGGAGTGAGCAGAAGTCACAGCAGTGGTGTTAGATGGGGTGACACATGCACATGGGATGGGGGGGAAGTGCAGGGGCAGAGCCCACATGGAGGGCTGCTGCAGCTCTGGAGATGAATTGAGTCGGTCATTTGCCAAGGAATAACTTCAGAAATACAAACCCTGCTTTCATTTGCAGGAGTCTACATGTATGCTTTCTTACCTCCTTAAATCAAGTCCAGATAGCTAGCAGTTTTGCCTTGCTTTGTTATATTGTTATGCACAGGGATGGAGCATTTTTTCCTTCTGAATATGCTGTTAACTTGTTTGGTGGGATGGTATTCATTACTGTACAGGAAATTCTGAAATCCTTACAAAAGGCAGTAAGATGTGGTAATCAGAACCAGGCAGCATGAATTGCAGAAGCAGTAATACTTGGTAGTATAAATAAGTACAGTGACTGTTGGGACTGGAATGGTGATTATTTTTTTTCCAAGTTAGCTAGTATTGAAAGCTGTATTTTAACATGCAAGGAGTTGTACTCCACCATGCCATATAGTTTGTGACAAAGAATTCCTAAGAAAATTGGAATCAGTGAGCTTAGTGAAACTTAGGTGTTTTTTAATTGTGCGGGGAGGGGGATAAGATATGTTGATGTCGTAACAGGAGGGAAGGAGAAATGCTTCAAGACATTGTAGGGAGTTCTCAAATACGTTGATCTGCTGTCAGATTTAAAGTCAGGTGAAACTAACCCAAAAGGAAAACGGCCACTGACTAGAAGTGGTATTGTCACATTGGCATTTTAACTTTTTATTTTTCCTTTAAAACAAGCTTTCCATTTTAGGTTTCAAGCGATGGCTGATGAAGATACAGGAAAGTAAACTAGGACCTGGGGTGTGTTTTGATGTTTTGCTGCTGGTGAATCTAATTCTAAGAGCTAATTAAAGCCGGGGCAAACAAGCCATACTTGCATTTATATTTAGATGCTTTCCAGATAAAGAAATTTCCCTTTATCTGAATGCTTAATATTTCCTCTGGAACAGATACCCACAAGTAGCATGATTAAATAAGTTACGAGATAATGTTTTATTTCTGTTCTGCTGAACGTTGTGTGTTCTGTTGTCTGCACTGTGATCGTCTGCTGCATGTGTTAACGCGGCTTCTGAGAAGGTTTTGTTTTGCATGACTGCAGGAAATTAGAACAGACAGATTCAATCGCTGGTGTTTAACACACAATGCAGGTATCAAAGCCTGTGACAGTTTCTTGCTTTGTGACAGCAGAAGACAATGGAAAATGTTAAAATATACATGAGGAAAGCTTGCTAGTGCTTGAAACAGATAGAAAGCCGGCATCTGCAGGGGAACAGTCTGACTTCCAGGTGTGTTTTGCTGTTTTTCAGAAATTAAATATAAAATACAGAGGGTTAAGGAGGCAGACGCTGTAGAGACATCTTGGAGGCTTCAGGTCACAAACGCTGACGGCCTCCTTGTGTTTCAGTCAGCGCCACATTACGTGCTTTTAGCTTGTTCTGTCAGCACCGTTTGGGCAGTTCAAACACCTGCACAGGAAAGTGTTATGAGAACTCCATGGCATTTTGCTTTCCTCCATTGAGAACGATGGAATTGCTTTACTCCTGCTGAGGGCTGGAAGTGGGCAGAGCTGCTGGCTGCTCCTGCATCTGCCCGGGGCTGTGGGAGCACAAAGGGGGCAGTGAGAGGTGAACGAGGTACGAAAGCGTGTTTAACACAATAAAAAAATATCATTTACAAATTGTAAGGGAAGAACTGGACTTTATTTAGTAATGTCTTCTTTTGTGTCCAAGTGACTGGGGCCATGCCGTGGCCATAGGCAGCAGCAAAGCTACAACGCAGTGCTGAGAGGATGCACAGTAAGTATGTAACTGAGCAGGAGTCTCTCATCCTCCTGCCTCGATGCGTTCTCCCAAGCTGGATGTGCAGAGGGGAAGAGCAGGGGCTGCTCTTTGCACTGCCGGTAGCAGAGCAGTCCCTCTCCCCGGGGCTCCCTAGATAGAGCAGTGTGCACCGCACGCACCCAGGCGGCAACGGAACCCGCAGCCCCCACAGCGCGCACTGCTGAGGAGCAGCCCGCCACCGCGCCTTAAATACCCCCCCGCGCGCCTCAATGCCGTCACGTGACGGAGGAGGCTAGCCCCGGTGGCTTCCCATTGGCCAACGCAGAAGCGGACAGCGATTGGCTGGTTTCACCTCCCCCTCCCGCCCTTCCCACGTGAGGGGGGCGAGTCACGCGATTTCCGGGAACCCGTCAGGAAGGGACATAAACAAAACAAACCCCAAAGCCGCATGGAGGGTCCGGGCCGGAGCGCGCGGGGCGGCGCCCCCTGCTGAGCCCCGACCGCTCGGTGAGTGCGGGCCGCGGGGGGTGGCGGGCGGCGGCTTCGCGGAACCCGGTCCCGGTCGGCGGCGGCGCCCCGAGGGGGAGGGAGGGCAGCGCGGAGGGCTCCGGGGAGCTCCGTGTGCGCCAGCCGCTGCCGGCCCGGCCTTCTGATGAAGGGAGCCGCGGTGTCTCGGCGAGGGGAGGCGGTGTTAAGGGGGGGCGGCGGCGTGCGGCGGGCAGGGGGCTCCGGCGTGCGGCGGGCAGGGGGCTCCGGCGCGCGGGAAAAGGGGTGTGTCTGCCCGGCGCCGGGAGCAGAGGAGCGGTGCCGGTGGCGAGCTTACAGCCGCAGAGCCTGGCTGCCGGGGGGTGTGGCTGCGGGCCGGGGGTGCCCGCGTCCCTCTGCACGGCTGCGGGAGGCGGCGCCCGGAGGGCTCCGAGCGGGGCTGCGGGGCGCGGGCTCGGCGGCGGCTGTCGGCGGCGGCGCGGTGGAAGGAGCGCTGCGGCGAGCGCCTGGGGGCGGAGGTGCCTTCCTCGCTCTTCGGAGCGGCTCCGGCCGTGAGCTGCGGGACGGCTCGGCTTTCACCGCCCGGCGCCGAGCAGCGGTTGCGGCAGGACCCGGCTGCCCCTCCAAGCTCTCGGCCGCCTTCTCTACGCCTTCACCTGTTGGAGCGCCCGTAGCGGGCCGCGGCGCTCCGCGCCTTCGGGGCGGCGGTGTCCGGCTGCGGGGGGAGGCGGGGCGGGACCCCCCTGCTCGGCCGCAGGCTTTATGTAACCGCCGGGGGTGTCGCGGAGGCTCACCACGAAGCGGCCCGACCCGGCTGCGGCCCCCGGGACGGGGCTCTGCTCCTCGGGCTGAGGGCCGCGAGCCCCGGGGAGGGCAGCCCCCAGCCCCTTGGAGTGCAGTGGGGCGGAGGCGGCCCCCGTGTCGGGCAAAGGGAGAGCTCCGCGCCCCTCCCGCCGAGGGTAGGAGGGATCGGCGGCGCCCCGCGGGGCGGCGGTGCGGAACCGGCGCGGCCTGGAGGCGCGGGGCCGCGGCGGTCCCCTCAGGAGCGGCGGAAGGGGGTTTGTTTACATGTTGCCTCAACCTAGCTTGAAAGGGCCGCTGGGCGAGTGAGTGTCGTGAGCGGCGGCCAGTGGGAACGAGAGTTCCGGAGGCACGAGCCAATGAGCGGGCGGAGAGGGCGGGGCGGGACGGCGGCCGGGTTAGGCTGCGCTCGGCTCCGGCTGGTGGGGCGGCCATGTTGGCGGGGAGGTGTGTTAGTGGGTCAGGGGCGGGTGCGCGGCGGGGCTGGGGCCGCCCTGAGCGGGCAGCCGAGCGGGGCGAGGTGCGCTGCGCTCCGCCTCTGGGAGTTCCCCGCTTCTGTGGGCTCTGTGCGGGCAGTGGCGGCCCGGAGCTCGGTGTCAGTCGGGCACCTGCCCCTATAAGCCGGTTCCTGCGGTCCGTTTATGAGCTCCCCAGAGCCGTGGCCCCCCTCTCCAGCGCTGGGTTCCCCCAAGCAAATCGGGCCGGGCTCGTTACCGACCCAGGACTTCATGCTCCCATCCCCAGCCTGTGCCTGGTGTCTCTCCATGGCCACGTCCGTGGCATTGCTCAGGGCAGCGCCTTGCAGAGCTGCTCAGACATCAAAGATAATTTAATGGCTCCAGTTCAATCTGTCGTGCTCCAATATAAACACGTGTTCGTTTTCAGGCTTCCCCATACATCCTGCTGAGCAGTGCCAATCTGTCAGCGACAGCAGCTGAAATATTGGCAGTTGAGAGCAGTTTGTTGAAATCAAGCAAGAAAACAGAACCAGGTTCTGGTAGAGTTAGCTTTCTAACGTCTTAAAGTGTTTTAAAGGAGGAGGGTTAAGCTTTAGCCTAGAGTTCTTTACCCAAGCGACTGCTTAGCATCTCTGTGCATCAGTTATCATTCAGTATGTGTTCCTGTAGTGACAGTCATGAGCAGGCACTTAGAAACTTTGGGTTTTACTTTTGGCACTTTAAATGAGGAACTGGACTTCTATGGAGGAAATAGGTTGGAATCAGAGTAGAATCATGGAATCTTTAATGCTGGAAGAGACTGTAGAGTCATAGAATGTCCTGGATTGGAAGGGACCCATAAGGATCACTGAGTGCAACCCCCGGCTTTAGACAGCATTACCTGAAATCCAAACCCTGTGTCTGAGGGCATTGTCCAAACACTCTCTGATCTCCAGCAGCTCAGGGCTGTGCGCGCTGCCTTGGGCAGCCTGTTTCTTGCCCACTGCATTCTGGTGTAGAACCTCTCCCTCTCCCCCACATGCCCTCCCCTGGCACTGCTCCATGTTGTTCCCTCGGGCCCTGTCATAGAGAGCAGAGCTCAGCGCTGCTCCCTGTAAGGAGCTGCAGCCATCATGAGCCTCCCCTCAGCTCCTCTGCTGTGGGCTGAGCAAATGCAGGGACCTCAGCTGTCCCTCATACGTCTAAGACCTCTAAGAGCATAAAGTCCAACCATCAAACCAACACCACCATTGGTTTAGCAGAAAAGATTTCTTGTTGAAATCAATGCTCAGCAATAGTTCTTTTCAGAGCTCTCTCAGAGAGCTCAAATGCTGCTTTGTGGCAATTAGCTCACTTGAGCAAATGAATTGCTCTGCGTATGGTAGGAGTGTTACCTGCTGAGGAGAGAGGTCTGCTGCAGAGGCATTTAATTGCTGAACATCTCACTGTGGTTTTCTAAATACTGAGAGCTAAAAAAAAAAAACCCTTTTTGAAGCACAGATGTTGGAAGTCCCTTCAGAATTAACAGGAATTAATTGGGAATGAATAGAAGCTTGTGACTGACTGATAGCGTGGTATGGACAAGTGAATCCATTGGTTTGGGTTCCTGTCCGTGTTAAGTGATTTGTGAAATCTAACTAAATGATCATTTAAAATAAAAGTTTTAAAAAGAAGTGCTTGAAAGTTGGTGTTGCCTTGACAATTAAGCTGGAAAGTTTCTGGAAATCTTAGCTTTTAGGATTCAGACCCTGCAGTAATACCTTCCCTCATTATGTTATGGCAAGAAAAGAAACCTCCTCCTGTTTTAGAACCTTTCCATTGGTGTGTGACTGTGTTGGCTGATGGTGTTGCTGTCTGATTTCTGACTTGCCCTCCTCGTTTCATTTTTTAGCTATAAAAGGTTTTTTAAATGAATTGAAGTACGTCAGTATAATTCTGTCAAGTGTAACATGCTGCATTTCCCGCTCTTGGCCCCAAAGTAATAATAAAATCTCAGTCTTTGTTACAGAATGTACAGAAAAGCCACTGCTTCTAATAGAACATACCATTCTGGGCACAGCTGCTATAAAATACATAGGTTCAATACAGTTGCATACATGTTTTATTTTTAAATCACTTTTGTGCCTCTTGCACTGTGATCAGTTATTTGCATTGCTTATTTGCTTATGCATTCATGCTGGTCTGGAATACCCCTCTGCAGTGAGGTGCCTGGGGCTGGCGTGGAAGGGTGCAGTGATCCCAGCAATGCAGTGCTGTTCTTTTTGGTAATTCAGCTCTGACCTGCAGTGCTGCATGTGCAGTTGGAGCTGGGAGGTTCTGTGTAGCTGTATTGCTTTGAGGTCCTGAAGTCTGTCTGCTCTGGGCATGTGGAGCTGAAACATAACATGAGGGGAAGATCAGCAGAGGAAAGGGAATGAAGACAGGGAAGCAGCAGTTTCCGGCCCTGAAAGGAAGAGGCTTTAACAGAAGTGAAACAGTCTTTGTATCTTCACTTCTTTTAAAAGGCAAGACTATCAGACTTAGGATCTGCATGTCCTGGGCAGCTGTTATTTATCGTCCAGGATACAAAAGGCAAAAAGCATAATGTCTGAGGTGCTAGCACTGCGTTTTAATGCAAAAACATGACTGTGGAGGTAGCGGTGCTTTGCTGGGTGAGCAGGGAACGATGCTGGGATGGACAGAAGCTCAGGACCTACAGACAGTCTTTACTCAACTGCTACCACAAAAAGCTCTGAAAAAAAAAAAAACCAAAACCAAAAAACAAAGTGACCCTCTGAGCAGCTCTGTGGTATGGAGAAAAGGAAATGTGTTGGGTTTTGTGTTTTCTTTTAAGTCTGGTTAACAACTGAAGATTAATGTAGAAATAAGGGGAAAAAAAAAACAACCCAAGAATGTTAGACGGAAACAAAACTAAGAAAAATATGTTCTGTGCTTGAAGGCTGCACTGAGCAGAGCATGTTCTGTAATAGGAAACAGACTGGCACAAAGTGTGACAGGAAAAAAAGTTCGAAGAGAAGCAGAGGACCTGGTGCTCCTCTTTCTGAAGCATCTCCATACAACAAAAGCTGCCTGGTACGTAATCGTTCCTCTAATATACGTGGCAGAGGTTGTGTGCCTTCTCTAAGTCTGAGTTTAGCTCTGAATGCTGTGGCCCAGCACTGACAGGCTCTCACGACGTGCTTTTTATTGTTGTTATTACTTGCGTGAAAAATGTAACTGTGACAAACGGCGCTGTGTGATGCACAGCTACTGCCATGGAAAGTATAATTGTTGCCGTAACGTGCTTGCAACAAGCATTTAGCTGCTGTGATAATAGGCACCGTGCAGTCAATAAAATGGTATAGCTGTGCTCTGCGTGCTTTTCAGGGTGTGTGGAATGCACATCTGAATTGAGACAGAAATAGCGACTTTGGTTATACTGGCAGTACAGATGATTCATACAGGTGGCTGGGGAGGACTTTCAGACTCATCAAGCTATAAGGTGGCATTTTGGGTTTTTCTCTTATAAGGGGCTTCTCTGGAGATAGTGTGTAGTTGCTGGGGGTGTTTTCCTCATCTGGGGAAATGGCACACGCATGGTAAGTGCCATCTGTCTCCTTAATGCTGCATGTTTCGAGTCTAGGTCATGCTGTTTGCCAGTTTAAAGACAGCTTCATCGGTAATGGCCTGTAATGAGCCTAGCGTCAGAGCTTTGAAATTGAGGCTTCCTGGGCTTTGTGGGACCTCTGTTAGGCTGTTCGGAAGGTGCATTTCCAAACAGTAAATAAAAATACAGAGGATTTTTACTAGGATTTGGCCTTAGATTAAAGAATTATTAACTCTATAGAGCAATTTTGAGTTACTTTTTGACTACTTCTGGAGGCTTTATCCAAGCATGAGCATTGTATATATGCATGCCTCCATCACTACCCTTGGTTCCTAAATGTTCAATGGAAGCAGGCATTCCCAAGGCATCCTGCTCTTTCCCATGCTCGGATCCACGAGCCAGCACTGGGCTGCACCACCTCCACCCACTGCATGGCCGTGGGGCAGCCACGGGATTTCACCCACATCGCCCTGCATATGGGAGAGGCCAACAGAATGCATTAATGAAAGTTCTCCTGAAGTAGAAATTCCTGCTGTATTTGTCTTTCGTAGTATTGCTGTTGAGCTCTGCTGCAGATGGTGTACTTCATTCAAATCTCATAGGTGATAGAACAACCTGCAGAGTTTCCATCGCAGGCTGTTCAGAGTTTGCAGCTGTGTTCCCTACCTTATATGCTCCTTCAGCCTGGGAGAACACGCAGTGCTGTAAGGTTGTAGTCAGATCAGTTCAGGGAGAGTAAAAGGTATTTTGAACATTTAATGTTTGTTTTCAGGGCTTGGAAACACCCCCAGATCTCCCTTGTCCTAACTCCTGGCAGCATTTGTTGGTTGGTGAAATCAGTGCCAGTAACGGTTAAGTTTAATTCCCTTTTTGTAGCTGTGTATAAAGGACAGTGGAATTTCTGGAGGGATGTGTTCTGACCAAGACGTAGCAGCAAGTGGTGATGACGAAGCAAACTTCTCCTTTCGTTCCCCGGTGTATCACGCAGTGGCAGAATGGCTGGATGGTCTGCCATATGAATGCAGATGTTGTGGCTGTGCCCTGGTGCTGGCATCAGACAGCATCCATCTGATGTGCTGCTGAAAAGATGTTCATCTGCAGCTCTCTATGGAAAGAAAGGAAGATGGTGTTAATGTATTAAATCTGATATCTTTCACACCTCTTTTCTTGCATATATAGTCCATTTGTTTTAAAAAGCAGCTTCTTTCTCCAGCATTAGGCCAGGCTGCGAAGTGCATTTGTCATTCATGCCACATTTACAGCAGAGGAAGGACTGGTTTTGTGGCTGTGTAGCCTTTGCTGTACAGAGGAAGATGGGGTTGTTTAGGCACGTTGCTCTGGGATGCAAGCCTAGCTTTTAAATATCACTTTTAGATAAATAAAAGGAGTTCCCTGGAAGCCTAAGAGCGAAAGGAAGATTTGGTCAGAAGAAGCTGGCTCTTAATGGACACAGGACCCTACGCAGGAGCAGCGTGCCTTGGCAGCAGGAGCTCGGTTTTATTGAGAGCTGTAATTTGTGCATGACTGGACATGCAGCTTTTGTTTTCTTCTTTGTGCTCTGATATTTGAAAAGCAATATGTTCTGATGAGTAAAGATGGTTTTGCACAGTATCTGATAGAATATATGCTGAATTTAACAAAATAGCTGAGATACTATCTGAGAGCAGGAATAACCTCTGCCATGTGCTGGTGGGAGGAGGTGGCTCAGCGGTGTGGAACACTTTTATTTTGCTGTTTGCTTTTCACAGTAAGCAGATAAACATAGCCTGAGCAGATTGCACTGAACTGGCTTAGAAGCAATGTCTGGCGAGGAATTCTATTCAGAGAAACAAATGTATTCACACTGTTAACGCTGAAAAACTGTGCACGCGTGGTGGTGCTGCTTTGGGATTGTGGTCCTCTGACTGTTTTTTTCTTAAAGACACTTTACACAGGGGTCAGGATATCACAGGAAAGCAAGGCAATAGGAAAACAGACTCCATGAAGCCAATGTAGTTACATTAGATACTAATTTGATACCGAGGATTCTCCCTTCCTGTCCTTCCTTCCTTCCTTAACACATTTTTCTACTTCCTGTTACTTGTTCTGTTGGGCAGTTCTCTTCCTTTCCTACACTTCTGGACAGTGTGCTTGCTTGCTGCAATCCCTCCGCCACTAGATGTTGCTGTGTGAGTGATTGATAGAATCTTATCTGAAGCTGAGTGGATTAAACTTTTAAGAAAAGGAGGAGTCTTGTTACTGGAGCAGTATTCAGTGAGCCTGTTCTGAAACTAATATTTTGAGGTGTCTGTCTGAGACAATTTTAGACTTTATTGGCTCACTTGTTAGTCAGAAAGGTTATTAATCTCTTTTGTGTCCCCAGCAGTATGCTAGTCATTATTTCCAATTAGGCAGGCTTTTCGTATGTCTATAGAGTTCATGGTGCTGGTAGTGAGGAAAAAAGGCATTGGAATGTAACTCAGCCAAAAAGGTTTTTGCAGAATCTCTGTTCTGTCACACCTGTGCCCTTTCGTTTGGTGAAAAATGGCAGGGGAGAAAACCATTGTACATTCAACCATGAGGAATAATCACTGTTCGGAGAGAATTTTTGTCTTTAGTTCACTTAGGCAGCTTTTTAAGCCCTGTCTTGTTGGTGATGGGACACTTACCTCATTGGGGTTTGCTCTGTTTATTCTACACAGAAAACTACAAATAGAAGAGCTCCATAAGAGTGAACTGAAGTTCCCATAAGGAAAAATTTCATTACATGGATTGTGTAAACTCACCAAGACTGAGGTAAAGCTGGAAAGAAATCTACAAGTGAATAAAACAAGAAGTTTGGAATTGGATTTGGGGAATCTGGGCTTGGAAATGCCTCAGGTAAGTCTGCAATGTTATGATTGTATTTGCTGCTGTAAATACCATTGCTTTCTTATTTAAAAAGAATGGAAAAAGTGTACCAGCAAATTCGACTGGCATCAACGGGGAGAAATTAGGAGAGACTAAACAGTATACAGCTTTTAATGCCCTGGTTGTGTCTGTGGTGGAAGCTGTGGGGTGCTCTTGGTGCTGTATTTGTTCACGGCAGCAAGAATCAGCCAAGCTGTCTTCTGGATGGGGGTGGCTGCCTGGAGAAGTGCCCGTTCTTACTGCAGTGGTTCACACAGCAGCAACTGAAGGACTTCCTGCAGTACAGTGTTTCTCCATTTCCAACCCTCAGGGCGAGTTTGTCTAGAAGAGAAATAGAGGTCTGGAATTGAATGTAGCAGAGGCTTGTTTTGTATCACCTGTTTGCCTAGTCATCCTGAGTAGTGTTTGTTTGCAGAGTTCTGCTTTGTTCTTAGGAGAGACAACACTCTTGGTTTAATTACACTTTGCTATTGTTACAATCTCAGCTAGAAGCTTTACAAGTTCTGATGGTTCTAAAACCAGCCAACACTCCTCTAGGACACAGTGATTCGTACTGGGGTGAAGGCCTTGCAAGCAGGTAGTGTCTCTTGGTACTCCCAGGTCTTGCCAGTACTCCCTCTCTTCTTCTGCAAATGCTGATGTATCCCTGATCTTGGCAAACACCTAAGATTTTCAAACTGACAAAATAGAATGCTAATCTATAAGGTAAATACCTTCCAGATGCAAGTATAGCACAAGTTCAGACACTTGGATAAAATAGCAATACTCATTGAAGTAAAGAATATGCTTTTTTTATGATATGCTTCAACATTCTCTATCAATTTTGTTGTAGCCCAGTGTGAGTGGAATGGACCCTCCTTTTGGAGATGCCTTTCGGAGCCATGTGTTTTCAGAACAGACTTTGATGAGCACAGATCTCTTGGCAAGCAGTTCAGATCCAGACTTCATGTATGAACTGGTAGGCCCACTTTCTGTGTGCACATACCTCCTTCTCCTTGACTAACACCCTGAGTTCATGTAGTAATAAAGGGGTATTTGCTCAGGAACGCTGGGTGGTTATTCATTACTGCTTACTGTGACTGGGGAAGAGCCTAACTGCTTGTTAAAGCTGGCCATCAGGAGGGACTTGGTACACAAGTATCAAATGGAGCTGTGTTGTTGTTACATTGTGGTGATGGAGACTCTTCCTTACAAAACATCTTTTCTTCAAGAGCACTTATGTGCTACTTCACTCAAGTTGTGGATGTGGGGGAAGCAAAATAAAAGTTGACTCATGAGCTGTTCACAATAGCACTTATTTTTTCCTGCGTGGAAAGTGAAAGGTAGCTCACTGTTGTTTGTTGATGTTGTTGATGAGCTTAGAATGAATTTTTCCAGGCATTGGTAAACTTGAGCAATTTCTATTATTCACATAACAAAGTTTGGCCTAGATTAATGGAAACTAGAATGTGTTGCCTGTGATGTTTTTCATGTTTTAAGTACATGGATATTGGTCCTATTCTAGTTTCTAATGACCAATGTAATAGCAGAAAAAGAATCGAGGGGTATTTGAGTTGTATCTCTAGCATCCTTTCCCCAAAGATCTGCTACTGAACCAGGGAAACTAGGCTCCAGTTGGACCCTCAGAGGACGTTGTTAGTTGGAAGTTGAGATATCTTCATATCACTGTCTTAGTCTTCACTTGAATTAGGCTTACCACATAAGTTTAAGAAGATGACAGAGATGATCTGATACTACTTTTCTATCTTAATTTTAACTTGTCTTATGTTGCACAGGACAGAGAAATGGACTACCAGCAAAGCTCCAGAGACAACTTACTTTCAATGGAGGACTGCAAAGACCTTGAGAACTTAGAGTCTTTTACAGACATCCTGGACAAAGAAGCTGCTTTCACCTCAAAGTGGGAGCAGTGGGACACGTACTGTGAAGACTTAACTAAATACACTAAACTAACCAGCTGTGACATTTGGGGAACAAAAGAGGTGGATTACTTGGGCCTTGATGACTTTTCAAGCCCATACCAAGATGAAGAGGTGATAAGCAAAACACCGACTCTGGCTCAGCTTAACAGTGAGGACTCCCAGCCTGTTTCAGATTCACTCTGTTATCCTGATTCACTCTTTAGTGTAAAACAAAACCCTTTAAATTCTCTGTTACCTGGAAAAAAAATTGCTAGTAGAGCAGCAGCCCCAGTCTGCTCCTCCAAGAATGTTCAGGCTGAGGCACCTTTGTCGGACTATGTTCAAAAGGCAAGCAAACCCGCGACACAGCCTGCTTCCAGTACACAAATCATGGTGAAGACCAATGTGTACAATAATGAAAAGGTGAACATTCATGTTGAATGTAAAGACTATGTTAAAAAGGCAAAAGTAAAAATCAATCCTTTACCACAGAGCAGACCAGTGTTGAGCCAGACACATGCAGATGCAGCAAAGGAAAATACCTGTTACTGTGGTGCTGTAGCAAAGAGACAAGAAATAAAAGAGTCCCCACATAGTCACTGTACGCCTCCTGTTTTGCCTTTTAAAGAGACTCAAGAACTGCTCCTCAGAGCACCCCAGGAAACTCCAGGACTTGTTGTGGGGGAGAGCAGCCTTTCTGCCAGCACATCAGCATCAGATTCATCACAGAAAAAAGAAGAACACAACTATTCTCTTTTTGTAACAGACAGTGTGGGTGAACAGTCGGCCAAAGGAGACCTTGAAGAAGATGAGGAGGATGAGGAAGATATTGAAGATGAGGATCATGATGAAGGATTTGGTAGCGAGCATGAGCTATCTGAAAACGATGATGAGGAAGAAGATTATGAGGATGATAAAGATGATGACATCAGTGATACTTTCTCAGAACCAGGTACCAGCAATGTTGGGGTTTGTTAATACTGAGGTCAATGAATTTATCTGCCAAGAGGGAAAGAATGCTTTTGAATGCTTTGTAATTAGAGATGAACACTTAAAATCTGATGAACGTTCAGAATTTATAAGTGCTTTTCACAATGTAATTAATGAAAACTACACAAGGCCTTTTGTTTTCCCTGTTTTGGAAAAAAGAGAAAAAAAAAAAGCATAAATGGTGGTCATACAGCAGAAGTCACAATAGACAATACAGAAGATTGAGTTTGTAGCCAAAGGTCATAAAGCAACTACCTGCAATTGTTATTTCCCTTTTTGTGGTTTGAGATAGGATGTGCAGAGCTTTCTAGTGCTTCAGTGGGCTGTGCTAAGGTTGTATCTCTTGATAGCTGGCACAAGATCATAGCCTGAGTGAAAGTGTTTCCTAATTATTTAAGTGCTTCTGTGGTTACAGAACCATTTCTCGGTGGTTTTCAACAGTGATGTTTAGTGAGTCTTTGAAGAATATAGAATTCTTCTCTTCTGTGAGTAGAAATGGAGCATTAACACCCAAAAATGAAAGCTAACCTTTATCTAGAAGGTAGCAAAGTGGCAGCATTTTATGAAAAGAAAATCTGCAGGGACAGGACTGTAACCAAGTATTAGCTTAATTGTAGAAGTATTATTATATTCACATTTTATAAATGCTCTTTAGTAGAGTATAAGAATTAAGGTATTGAGACATTTGGCAATGTGCAACACTGGGGGGAAAGGAAAACAGCTGAAATACTCCCTTTTTAAAAGCAGCAGCTTCCCTAAAGCATGCTGTTGTTTGTCATAAAGAACTCTCCGATTAAATTATTTTCTAAGTAGATTTCCTGAGCTGGCGTTAAACTTGTTAAGTATTGTGCTCTTTATGCTACTTTTTCATGTACACACGGCATATATATTAGCATTTTAAAATCTCTTCCTCCCTTCTTCTGAATTGAACTCTGTACTGTCTGAGGTTTGAGTAGCTATTAAAGCTCCGTGCTGATTGCTGTGCCACGCAGTGCTTTGCAGCCCACAGAGGTCTGTTGCACAGAACAACTGGTAATCTTGAGACAGAGCTGTATGAAAATGCTGGGCTTTCAGCTGGTGGAATTACATTAACTACTTGCTGTTTGTTCAAATCCTGATGACAAGCTCTCGCCTTCTAAACAAAACCATGTGCTGTGCTGCAGTAACCAAAGAGCTTGGCTTGCACAAGTCCATGAAGCCTTTCACCTCGAGTGCAGGAGTTTTATAAGAAAGCATCAGCAGATGTTTTTGATACATTAGGAGGTAATATCTCCAGGTATTTTAATTATGTCACTCACAGTCTTATGTTTTACCTTTGCAATGGAGATAGATGCTGTGGAATAAGCTTCTAAAAAAGGGCATGTCTCTGGAATACTTAACCTTTCATGCTTTCATTGAAACCAAAGTCAGTTACTAAATTTAGAGTGAAGATAGGACAAAAAGTCTTGTGTTTGCTGACCTTCTGATATGCGTATTTCATACACAGTTAGCTTTGGTTTACTCTTTTTGTTTTGGGAATGCATGATACGCTTTCTTAAAGCACTGAGTTAGAGGAAATACATAGGTACATTGAACTTCAAGGACGTGGGAATAATAACTAAAAGTGTTACTGGATGTTAGCAATGCTAGTGTTATTACTGGGATACAGATTTAGCAGTTTGGGTCCCATTAAAGCTGATTTGTTATGGGAATGATAAGCCCTGGTCTGTTTCAGCACTTAAACTTTCTTTGCCATTACTGGTGTTTTCCCTATCTAATTTAGTTGTAATATATGTAAATGACTGCTTCTGCTAACAAGCAGTCCAGAGATTCCAGAAATGAGAGACGTAACAGTTAATCCAGTTGTCAGAAGCTCTGGGGAAGAGAATTAAAGGGAGATGGCCTATAGAGACAAGGGATGACACTGCGTGAAGTTTTGCTGTGTGTTTGGGTGCTGTGCTGCCAGCTGGGGCTCTGGGAGGGATTTGATGGAAGTCACAATGGTTAAATAGCAATGAGAAGAGGTTTTTTTAGGTTTGCTTTGGCAGAGTTCTTTTTGCATTTAATCTGGTACAATGCAGAGATGTCAGTCCCGTTCTCCTTCTTTCTTAATTCAACCCTGGTGAATTTTAATCTAAAACCTTGGGTTGTGAGCAAAGATTTTTAGGAGTGGCTTGCTAAGGGCTTGAAAAGTAAATACAGGTATTGTTTCAGATTTCACAGAAGTTCGTCCAAGAAGGTGAGAATGCTGTACAGTATAGGAGGAGAACTCAGGGAGGATGGATGCAGTGCAGAAGAGCTAAATGGATTTGTTGCACTGCTGCGTGTTACAGAGTAGAGCAGGACATTGTGCACAGGGCTGCTCCATGTAACTGTAAAATGGTAGCAGGTCAGTGTTAGACTTGCAAGGCAGGATGCATTAAGTCAACATAATTCAAATAGCCAACTTAATTATGGTTTGAAAAAGCAAACAGGAAGTCTTGATTTTAACCTCATTTTACATTTGTACACATCAGCTCTTAAAGAGATTGGTTTTCATTGATTGGCTTAATTCTGCTTTATCACAGAGTTGGGCTGAATTTATACCTGCCTATATAATGAGTTACAGTGCTTGACATGTTTTGTAGGTGGAAGGTAAGGAAGAGCATTTGGATATTTACGTCAAACAGCATTTGGGTAAAAGGAAATTACACTTAAAAATATCTGTGCTATTTCAAACTATATTTAATGTAAATCACCACAATCACTTTGACTCTCCAAGAAAAAAACAAAAGTGTTTTAAAAAACGTATTTTGTTTTTGATTTTTCCTTTAAAACACTGTCCTGTCAATAAACCAGAGAATCAAACAAGTTTAGAAGTGGTTGCATCCTTCTGTGTGCCATTCATGGTTGGGTTATGAGCTGAGGGAGAGTCAGACCAAAGCAAGAAAGTTTGTTTTTCTTCTTTCAGCTGCCTTCTCAAGTGCAAACAGTCTAATTGCATGGACAGTTTTAAAATAAGGAAAGCTTTTAAAATAAAGAAAGCATTCTTTGTGCTGCTGCTCAAAGATGGTGCAGAGCTGAAGCATATAGGCCCAATGCAAATTGCTCGTAGAGTCCATTCAGTGCTTGGGTTTTCCTGAAGCTTCATCAGTGTATGTAATATTTGAAGTCTGTTATTTTTCAATTAACTGTGAAGCGTGATACAGCATTCTAGTACAAAAGGCAATGCTCTGTATTTTTTCTTACCTTAGTACAGGGTGTATTTGTTTTCTAAAGCATAGGTAGGATTTTAAAAACTGTACGTTGTATTTATACAGGTAGGGTCGAACCATTTGTGCAGTGTGATAGTCATTACTGCTTCCATATACTTTAAGAACAGTTTGTCATATCAAGTGCATTATAATACATCTCTAAAATCCTCTATAGCTTTATCGTGGATCATTTGTCTTCGTCCCACTGAATTTCTTCCCCATGAAGAAATTGAACAGGTTGTCTTTAATCCCTTCCATTTAGAAGTTCTTTTCTTGTGGAATTGGGTCCATTCCCCATTCCTTCATTCTAATAGAGATGGATAGTATGATTTATTTCCCAGGGGTATGTAAGTTCAAGGAAGAGCTTAAGGTAAAGCAAGAGTTTTGTTTTATTTATTAGCCTTTTGCTAATCCATCTTTATTTTTTTAATCCACTTCTATTTCTATGCTTTTGATTGAAGATTAATTAAAATGTGGAGGAGAGTTAGGATTATGTTTCTGCTAATTAATGGAGAACACTAAAAGTGGAGGAGTAGTTTCCAACAGCTGTTGTCTGTACAGCAGTGAGATGGCGGGGAGAAGAGCAGCAGAGCTCAAGGGGTCAAGAACCAGACGGGGCTCCCTGTGTGTGAATCATTTGTCTCCATTCAACTGATGAAGCACCATCACTGCCTCGGTGTCTGTCCCTGGTTTTAAAGCAAATACCCAGTGGTAGCTGAAGCTGAAAACCAAGTAGAGGAGATAATGTGATACAGGCCATCTTTTCGTGTTTGAGTTTAACACTTGGTCCACGGTTAAAAGGCTAGGAACCGTCTTATAAACATTACGTGAACGATGCAATGCATTCTTTTAGGGTATGAAAATGATTCTGTGGAGGATTTAAAAGAAATGACTGCAATAACCTCTCGAAAAAGAGGCAAGCGAAGATACTTCTGGGAGTACAGCGAGCAGCTGACGCCATCCCAGCAGGAGAGGATGCTGCGGCCATCGGAGTGGGACCGAGATACATTACCAAGTAACATGTACCAGAAGAACGGTCTGCACCATGGTAAGAATACAGTCCTAGTTACAAGTCACAGTCTGTCACACTGGCACCTTCAGTAGCCAGACTTCCCCGCCTGAAATTGTGATTCCGCTCACAAGATTTGACCGTGAAAATAAATCACTAAAACACTGCAAGTCTGTTGCTTGATTAGCTGAGTTCTGTGCTGTGTCCAAGGAAGGCACAATGAATGTACAGTAATAACATTCAGCATGGTTTCTTCCAGAGGAGGTGGATGAATTGAGACTTGTAACTTCCAAAGGCCTTCAGTGGAAGCCGCAGGAGTTCAGAATTTTCTCAGTGTGGTACTGTAAATATCAGGAATAAGTCTCATGACTGATACTTGCCCCTGGCTGTTACACAGATTTAGTCTTGCTTTTGTTAAAGTAAGCTGCAAGTGGCTTGAGGTGCAAAGTTCAGGTTAACTGCAGTGTGAACTAAAGAACAGGCAGGCAATAACCTGAAGCTCTCTCCTATTGTTCTTCCCTCATTGTTCCTCCCACCCATGTCAGTGCGATACAGTGAAGCAGTTACTTTTCTGTGAATAACCTATTTATTTAAAATACCCTCACAGGAACTTAGCCCAGTTGGTCTAATCACTGTTTTATTCCCATGACTTTCTGATTACCAACTTGCTCTACTTTAAACACAGCTAACATTATTGAGAACTAGTCGCTCATAGGAGTAATATTTGTTTTCTTGTCACAGGACATCTTTTGTAGGCTTTTTCCATTTGATTGCGGCTCTGAAAGAACAAAATTAAGCCAACTTCCCTGGTTGTAATGTTATATTCCCTTACAACTGAAAATTATCTTTAACACTGCAGTTTAACTTCAGATAAATGAACAGATCTTTGTATTTGTTTTATAGATTTTTTTTTTCTGGGAAGGAAACTTTTTTCTTTTTCATGTGCTTGATTTTTACATGCTTATCTTGTAGTTAAATAACAATGCTGAAAGCCTTTATCACTACTCATTGTTATGGAGGCTTATATCTATATTTGTTATAGAATAACAGATAAATAGGACTTAAGGACTCAGTCTCACTAGACACTTGTAGGAGCAAGTGCCCTTTAATGATGCTGAATTATCAGCTCTCTAATAAATAATTCTGGAGCAGGTTTTGTCAGTTTATTATCACTTGCATGCAAGTATCTGCAACCACTGGCATTTTTAATGGAAATCTAGAAAAAACGCAGCAGTAGCAAAAATTCTTAATAAGGATTTTGTCTTGAATGCAAATTTTCTCCATGAAACCAGCTCTTAAATAGCTTCAAATAGATCTAAAGAGGGTTGCCTACCCTTTATGTGGGTCATCAGTACCGAGTCTCTAGAGCCTCTCTTAATGCAGAACTTTCAGAATAAGATTATTTAGGAATTTAATCAAGTTTACTGTCCAAGAGAATATGTTGGCTGAACATATGAAATAGTAAGTTACCAATGGGGCAAAATGCCTGGCTTTGAACTTGTGATGTACATTTTTCAGCACTGTTGTTTGCATACTGTCCATCACATCAAGTACATTTCTTGCCCAGCCAGCAGTATTTGCTCTTATCTGATCTGGATATAATACGAATTGCACAAAGCAGTTTGTCTGGAAATGCTCTTTCTATTGTGAAAGGCCACAGAGATCACATTATGCCAGACCATTCTCTTGTGACAAACAACGGAACTTAAACTGCACCAAAAATAATACATATTTAAGAACGTTTTTTCATAGGTTTGCATGCATGTTGTGTCACTTGCTGCTCAATTTTCTGCGTATTCAACACAGGTAAATATGCAGCAAAGAAGTCACGGAGGACTGATGTAGAAGACCTGACTCCCAATCCCAAAAAACTTCTACAGATTGGTAATGAGCTGCGGAAGCTGAATAAGGTGATCAGTGACCTGACGCCAGTCAGCGAACTTCCCTTAACTGCCAGACCAAGGTCAAGAAAAGAAAAGAACAAGCTGGCTTCCAGGTAATGTATTAGTTAACACTCATTGGATGAGTAAATTTGCATTACTACAGCTGTGCAAGTAAGGCTAATTTTTGTCTTGAGATCCTGCTTTACTGTGGCAGTCCCTATTGATGGGTTTTTTACCCGTTTATCAAAAAGCAGGGCAGCTGTGGAGATGTAGTTTACCTGTTCCTTAGCAGATAATCATACTTTCACTGGAAGCTGTCTTACTTAGCTGCAGGGCAAATTACTGTTACAGTAGTAAAATCCACAAATGTAAGCAAATACAAGTAGTAACGTGCTTGAAGTGAAGATGAGTGAAGTAGATACATGTCTGGGAGCATTGGTTGCTAAGTTGGTGTGGCTAACTGAAACAGATGCTCTTAGTATTCTGGAACATTTGTTAAAATGTTCTAATTCTTCCACTCTTCTTGCTATAGGGCTTGTAGACTAAAGAAGAAAGCCCAGTATGAAGCCAATAAAGTAAAACTCTGGGGTCTCAACACAGAATATGGTAAATACAACTCTTCACATGTTAGTTTTTCTTATGTTCTTAAGGCAAGTCTGTGTTATCAGTGTGTGGACAACTAAGCATCTCTTTTGTTCCTGGGCAAATGCAGTGTATGTCTAACCCAGGTGTTTTTTTTGCAGATAATTTGCTGTTTGTGATCAACTCCATTAAACAAGAAATTGTTAATCGAGTGCAGATGCCTAAAGATGATAGAGGAGTCAACATGGAACAAAGGTTGAACATACTTATTAAAGATACTCTCGGTAAGCAGAATATCTAATGTATTCACCTGTGTGTGAAGAGACGTCATCTGTGGTATGATAGATCACCAACAATTTCTGGAATAGAGAAAGGAAGCGCTTCCTCATTACAGCTGTAACCAAACCTTCTCTTTGGTTACTGACCAAAATGTTCATTCATTGGCTTTGTGTCACTTCCAGGAATGTAAAACGCATATAATTAATAATAAGCTTACAGTGCATTTTCTTACCCTCTGTTTTCAGGACTTCCTGTAGCTGGACAGACATCAGAATTTGTGAATCAAGTGTTAGAGAAGACTGCAGAAGGAGACCCCACAGGTGGCCTTGTAGGATTACGAATACCAATGTCAAAAGTTTAAGACATGACTTCACCTGTTCTCATTGCTCACATTCTTCCTGTGTTGTCAAGTACTTCACTGTAAATTGCATTCTGGTCTGCATGTCAGTTTAGCATTATGTAAACACTTACAATTAGGTTCCATTATTTTTAAACAACAACATAGAAAAAAAAATCAAAGCATGGAATAAAATGCCTCGTAGCATTTTTGGAGCATAAAATAGATAGTTCTAAAGCTGCTTTGAGATTGCGTTCAGAGATGAGGGCTCTTTTTAAAATTAAGTTCTAGGACCAGACTTACCACTTTTGTTTTAGAAGCAAAACCATATTTTTGCTAGTAAAATTTTTTTAGCATATGCCAGACGTAGTGGCAGGTTTATGCTCCTAGCAAAACAAGAGGAAGCATTTTTTTTATAAAGGTGACAATTCAGTTTTTTCTGTTGTTGTTTTTGTATTTGTTCTTGTTTGCTGTTTTGAAATAATTGGATTTCCTTTGTTCTTCTTAAAAACAGTAAGCTTTCTTTGCAACCATTAACTTGTACATAGCACACGTGGCTTCAGAGCTGGTGTGCCATATAAACTTTAATTTTTCTGAGCTTAATATAGTATTTAAATGTCTGTGCAAGCAGGAGAAAAAAAAGTATATTCTTTGTGCCTTGTATTTTGAGGGGAGAGCTATCAGTGTAAGCTGGTAAAGTTTTGTATGAAGAAAACCCCGAGGGGAAAAAAAAACAAGATGTACAGATGGTGAGATTATAGGTTTTAATGTATTTGTTCCAGCTCTTAAAATTTTTGAATGTATATAGGAATATGTTGAAAATGTAGATATATGCCACAGAGTCTATGTATTGTATAAAAGATGGCTCTAGAAAACTCAATTTCGGTACTTTGGCCGGAAGAAAACCTATACTTGCACATTAATGCGATTGTTTATTTTTGTACCAAAGACAAATGCAACTGATATGGCGAACTGCCAGTCTAAGTAAAGTTTTGCACAGCTTATATGATACTGTACTGAATGTAAAAACAAATGAAAAAAAAAAAAGAAAAAAAAATTACAAGGTCAGGGTTAGGGATCTTACTGAACTGTGAATTTTTTTTGTTTGGGTCCAATTATCTACAGAAGGAGCATTCATACATAACGATATTATTTTGCTGTTCTTGTAGTTCGCTTCCATGGTAGATAAGTTGGTGGCCGTCTCGGAGTCTTTAAATCTTTTTTCTCTGCACTTACTGTAGGAGATTTTAATATATTTGGATTTTAGTAAGCTATTGGTAAAATAGTTTTCAACTTTGAGAATTTAAAGAAATATTTAGCTTGTTGTAGTATACTTCCAACAAACAACCAAAATAAAATTATTTTTATTGTAATGTGTATATATGTAAAGAGAAAAAAGAGCTACAGATATCTAATTCCTTAGTTGCCACTTTTCCAGTTGATGTATTATTATGCATGTGATGTTTCCAAGGATCAACACAGGCTTCAAACAAAACGAGACAAAAAAAAAAAAAAAGTTTATAGACTTTTATATTTTTGTACAGGTATTTCAAAACTAGCTTCTTCAAACTTATATGTGACTTATTCTTGTTAATTCAGTAGTTTCTATGATTGGGAAATATTAACACAGTTCTTATTTGCTCTTCTGCTAATAAGAGTTGGCTTTGTAGTCAGTGTTAACGTACAGATAAAAAGCTTTAGCCTTTGATGAAAGTCCTTTATCTCAAGGCAAGATCATTCTCTGGTTTCATGGACCCCCTTTTCCTCCCCGTTCTTTCTCTCCCTATTTAAAAAGACAGAACACTGTTTACTGAAAATAGAAATACCAAATATTTTCAAATGTAGCTGCTGAAAAAAATGCAAAGTCCATGAAGGCTTTCTCCCCACTCCCTTTGGGGAATCTCTCCACTTCGTATCTAGTTTGTCTGTGTTTGTACTGTGATTCCTTTTTGTTTATATGTAGGTTATTTTTATATCTGAGCTTATACTATAAAAAAGTCTGTAATAGTGCAGTGAGAGTCGCAGATGAAGGTGGCAGTCCTGCCACATGCTGGTGAGTGTGCACACAGCTTACTTTGTATCTAAATATTTTGGAAGACTCAAAAGGGAGGAGGAGGCCAAAATACCACTACTGAGCTGTACAGAAAGTTTTTCCTTCACGAGACTGAACAAATACCCAGAGCAATTTAGGCAAAACTTTGTAAATCCACTTAAGATTTGCAAAATCAGAGTGGGCTTTGGGTGTTCTTATTGCTCTCACAGTGAGGTGAGAGTCGGCTGCTGCTTTACACAGTGGGTCAGATGTATTCCTATCGTAAGCATTGCCAATGTTACACTTATTCCAGAGATGCATACTGCCCATAAAACCCCGACAAAGAATGTTTCTTGTGAAGATAAGGCCACGTCTGTGCAAAGATTTGAATAGTCGTTCCTTTTTGATGAACGGTGTTAGCGCACGGCTCCGACAGGAGGGCTCCTTTTGCTCTCTCAGAACCATGTAGGCGAGGCGGCGTTTCTAAACATTACAAGCAGTTTTGCAATCAGGTAAAAACTTTTGTGACAAATTGAACTGACAAGGTATCAGAAAGCCCCTACTGCTCAGAAGTGCTGGGCAAATAGAACTTTATAGCTCTTTATTTTTATCTGAAAACCAGAATATGATTTTGGTCTAGCATTTCAAAGTAGACTTTGAATCTTTAGTGAATTCCATACCCTTGCATTTCAGTGTTTTCTATGTATTATTTTAAGTTAAAGCTTTTGAATAGTTGAGCTTTTTAATGTTGACACTTTATTTTGTACCTATTTATATGTATGTATATCTTAGAAAAGCACTTTGTTTAAAAAGGAGAAAAGAAAAAAAAAAAAAAAAAAAAAAGAAACTGCGTTTTATATGATTCCTGCCACTTGCTGCTAACTCTGGGCTGGTCAGAATGCTGCAGCGATACTTGATATAAATAAAACCTGGCAGTAAAATGTAGAGTACAGATAAGACCTTTTGCTGGTTTAACTTTATCATAAAGGTGACATAGGCAAGCTGTGCAGCTTTACATTTTAACCAGGGGACTCTGTGGCATTTAAACCGTCTAGAAATGGTTGTACTTTAATGCCAGTAACAATCTGCTTCCTCTAGTGTCATTACAATATATACATTTAGTGTATACTTATCACAAACAAAATCTTTTAAGGGTATAAAAACCAACAAATGTACATGTTCTGTTTTTTGGCAATTGTGGCATGCGTTTTTGGGTGATCTTTAGAGAAGACCATTTTCTAAAGATTTTCAGTGTTCATACATGGTATGTGGATCTTAATGAAGTCCTGGATTATTTTTTGTTTGTTTGTTTGTTTTTGAGTGTAGGCATTGTGAATATTCACTTTTAATCCTATATCCAAAAACAATTATACATCTTTGATTTAACACAAACAGAAGTTCTTCCTTTTTCTGATACACTGGATTCTCTAGGATTTGTTTCCATATTAAAAGCATGCTGTTATAACTGCTCTTGTTAAAATCTTGTCAGTCTGAACTTAGGTGCCACACTTTCTGACTCGATGGACTGCTTGTTCTACTGTACCATGTATGATTCTTGTCTTTTCCTACTTTCTTCATGAGAGATTATGATGTGGCTTTATATTGTGCCTTACTTGTACATCTAGAACTAAATGTTTTTCATTACCCTTGAACTCTTCAAGCCTAACCCCTCCAAAAGCGAATCTGAACTGGTAAAAGCATCCTGAAGAGAGTTTGGATAGATCTATTTTTGTTTCTCTCAATAGCAGTTATTTTCTATTTATATGGATGACCAGTTTTTGAATGGCCTTGCAGAATGTGGGGGTGCTCACAGAGGGCATTTTTGAGCCCTACACCCCTTTTTGCTAACACTTCTTTTATGGTTTGTTGAACACACTTACTGATATTTGGTGAGTTCTTTTCTTGGATGAGAGAGACTTATTAATAAAACTATTAGGTGTGGGTGGGCTGGATTTTCTTACCATGCCAGCTGAAGCGTGATTTCATGAAGTTTGCATTGCTGCAAAGTTGATGTGAGAGTTGGGCTCAGCTGTGTTCAGTCCCTGATCCTTTCTAGATAGCAGACCCTTTGCCACTGTTAAATAAAGCTGGGAAAAAGTTGAAACCAGAAAAATCTAAAATCTGAACGGATGAAGGGTCTGCTAGCTGATCTAAAAGCAACCTGGTGTCGTTTTTTTCTTTTATCCAAAAAAGGTCCCCCCTGCCCAACATTTATCCAGTATTTGCCTTCGTTAATAAAACAGCTTATTCATAAAATACAAAGAATGGATGTGCTTTTCTTTTTTTTTTTTCATAAATGATTTAAATATAGCTATTTTTTAAAGCAAGAGGCTTTATCAGGAAAATTTTAAAGGGTTGTATATAAGTTGCCTTTAACAGAAATAGCAAATGCAGTTCTGTTCCTCTAACTTGCTTGCTAGTCTTCCTGAAATTCTGTTGAGGCGTAACCAGTTGTGTACTATGAATGTTAGGGTCTGTATTCGGCCTTGAGACCTGAATTTCAAGAATGCATCTAATCATTATTTTGAAGTTGGAGGCTTCAGTTGGAATTACCTAGTTAAGTGTGCTGCTAGATGTGGTCTTGGCTTATTGACACAGCCATGCACAGAGCTGAAATCTGTTTTGTTTTACCCCAGGGATCGTGTGAAGTACATTTCAGTTACTGCTTCAGTGACTGATTCTTTTTGTAACTGTATTAAGGGCATTAGTACGTTGAGACAACACCACTCTTGAATATCTCCCAATACAACTTGGGATTCTTAAATGTCGTTAATGAAAGATGGCACTTTTAGGCTGTATCTTCTTTGCAATATACAAAAGTATCTCTATCTTTGTGTGATTTGCATTTCACAACATGCCATGTTGTTCCCCAGTGCTTCTCGCGTGTAGAAAAGGCGTGTGTGTGCACTGCGTGACAGCCCTCAGCCTCTCAGACATCCGTCAACTTCCACAAGAGTAAATGCTGGCAGTGCGTTTATTGGCTTTCTAATGAGCAGTGGAGCTAAAAGCAGAACCAGAACTATCTTAAGCCACGCTGTTTTTTCATAAAATGAAAGGCTTTCTGGAAAACACCAGTGTTCCAAGGTTTTCCTGCGAGTAGTTGCTACTTACGTGTCTGAGTAAGTCAAATCATCCATCTACAGAGGGAAAATTTCTGTGTTGGATTTAGCACTGACAAAAGCACAATCCACCCGAGGAAAACCTTTCGATTAAGAGCCGACCCCGGGAGTAGCATTTAATTGTACTGATCTTTTGTATGGTATGGGCTCGTTTGAGTCAGCTGTGCCTCAGCACGTCTGTAAAACCTCACTGCTCGGTGTCTGTGCTCAGGTGACCCCGAGGGCTGATGGCACCTGGGGGGAAAAGGCGTTTCCAGCAGAACATGGCATCCTCCATCATCACCGGCTTCCAATGGGAGCTGGGAGAAACTCCATGAAAGTCTCGTCTCTGTTAGCAAATAAATTCTCCTGTTAAAAGCATGATCTGTTCAGAGTTGCAATGTTCGATGTCGGTTAATAGCTGTGCAGTTTTTATTATCTTTTTTTTTTTTTTTTTTTCTGAAAAGAGGCACAATCCCACGATTGACTTTGTTTACTGTCCCCCTCGATCCCTCGCACTTCTATTCGGACGCAAATTTCATCAATGTACGCAACATCCTTTGTAATTTAAAATAAAAATTGTGGAGGAAACACTGTCTCAAATCACGGCGTGTGTTTGTGTGTTCTGGGGGGGCTGGGGAGCCGTGGGGCCTTTCCCTTTTCCACACCGGAGGACTGGAGGACCCGGGCCGGGCGGCGCTGCGCGGTGCCAGCAGGGGGCGCTCGAGGCCCCGCCGCTCCACTCCCAAGATGGCGGCGGCGGCGGGGGGCTGCGTGCCGGTGCGGGTGTGCCACCAGGAGATCGTCAAGTTCGACCTGGAGATCAAGGCGGCAGTGCAGGTAGCGCCGCCCGCGGAACCCCCCTGAGGCGGCGGAACCCTGAGGCGGGGGCTGCGAGGCGTCCGCGGCCCGGCCTTGCCCTGCCCTGCCCTGCCCTGCCGTGCCCTGCCCGCCACGTAGGGCCTCGGGCCGCGCTGACCGGGTTGTATTCCAGGACATCCGGGACTGCCCGGGGCCGCTCAGCGCCCTCACGGAGCTCAACGCTGCGGTGAAGGAGAAATTCCGGCACCTCCGCGGCCGCATCCAGGTGGGGTTGCGCTGCCTGCAGTAAACACGGGCTGCCCGCGGGGCCGCTGCCGCCTCGCGCCTTTCCCTTGGAGCTGCAGGTGGCTGCGGTCCGGCTGATTTCCCGTTATTGCTTTTTGTCCAAGGAGCTGGAACAGATGGCGAGGGAACAAGATAAAGAGTCAGAGAAACAGGCCTTGCTGCAGGAAGTGGAGAACCATAAAAAGCAAATGCTCAGGTAGGCCGTGCTGTTTACAGGTGCCCAGACCTCACTGCAGGTGCCCGGTCCTCAGGGGTACCTGCTTTCAGGGCGCTCTTTCAGATCCTGTTTTGCAAACCCGATCAGTGACACCGGGCTGCTTTCAGTAAGGCCAAGAGCAGATCCTGGCACAGGTTGCCCAGAGGTGGAGGTGCCCCATCCCAGCAGACACCCGAGGTCAGGCTGGAGGGGCTCTGAGCACTGATGGAGCTGTGGGTGTCCCTGTTCATTGCAGGGAGTTGGACCAGATGGTCTTTAAACGGCCCCTTTCAGCTCAGATGATTTTATGATTCTGTGATCAGGGACAGAAAGAGAAGAGCTCCCATCTCCTTCCTGTCTCCTGGCTCTCTGAGCAGGTCTGTCCGTTTCAGTGACTAAGCCTGTAATGATAAACTTAGGAGAAGAAACAAAAGAACAATGTATTGTCACTGTGGTATAATACAGAGAAAGTTTATATATGTATGTGGATCTTAGTTATGGTGACTGCTTTGTGAAAGTGATTGCTGCTTAAAAGGTGTTGCCATCACACTACAACATTGTGCTCTTGTGATTTCAGCAATCAGGCAGCTTGGAGAAAGGCAAATCTGGCTTGCAAACTTGCTATCGACAACTCTGAGAAAGATCAGCTGCTGCAGGGAAGAGACTCCTTAAGACAAAGGTATTAAAGTGTGAACAATGTGAGACTTAAACAATGTGTGCCATACTCACTAGTGCAAATGGGAGTGATGTAATGTTCTGGAAATGGTTGAATTGTACACAGAACATAGCTTTTGTTGTAAAGGAGTGCTGTTGTCTACTGTGGAGGCTTAAACTGTGAAGAATTGTGTTAATTCCAATTTTTTTTTTTAGTGTTGGCATGTCAAAGTGGAGATGAGGTTGTGATAGAATTTATAATTTCTGTGATCGTCTTTTATATTAATTCCAGGCAGGGTCATAAACAAGTAATGGTTCACTGTGCAAGTTATTTTCCTTAGTAGAAGTGGATATAAGTTCGTATAACTTCTGAATTGAGAAGTTGGCAAATTTGGTACTGTGGAGCAGCAGGGAGAATAACTGAGATAATGAAGTGGCAGTTTATATCAGTGCCTCCATGCCACCTCATGAAGTTGTGCCATCATGACTGAATGACTGCCATAGCGTGAGCTCTGTGAGACTCTGAGCTGCAGTTGTTAAGGCTTATGACTTCAGTATTTTGTGATTTTTCTTTGGTAGTTCAGCAAAGACAATCTCCAGTTCTCATGCAGAAAAACCTGGTTGTATCTTTTGTACACGAAGTACAGCTGCACATTCCACTGTTTTGTCCCTCAGTGTTTTCTTCTTTTGCTTTTTCAGAAAGACTACGAAGGAAAGTCTGGCAGAGAGTGCAAGTAACATCACAGAGAGCCTGATGAGCATCAGCAGGATGATGTCACAGCAAGTCCAGCAGAGCGAGGAGACTGTGCAAACCCTGGGTACAGATGTAGTTGGGGTTGGGGTGTGGGTTGGGTGACCGAGGAACCTTTCAGCTGTTCTGTTAGGATGAAGAGAGCCAAACTGTTGTGATGCAGAGCATAGGAAAATATATATTGCTGTAGGAGAACTTGCTATGATGATGATTCAAGGATTGTCCAGCAGAACTCCTCTAACATTTGAACAGAAATGGAAAATAATAATATACATTGCATGAAGTTTTTTGCTGGAGTTTTTGTTTATGTTTGTTTGTGGATAACAAGGAGGGGGCACGCTGAGGAACTCGGTTTTATATAAAAGTAATTTTAAAAGCAGTGTGAGTTCACACAGTGTTAACAGTGTGTATGATGTTACTCTGTGCTACTGTCCTGACGTGCCTTTAGCAACAGAGAAGAAAAGAGCACAGGTACAAGTTCATATGTAGAGGAAACAGCCTGGCTAGGAAGACTGTTTTCACCCCTTCTCCAGCTGGGATGACTAAGAGATGAGGCAGCTGAGTGACTTGAACCCAAGGTCACTCGTCCTGTCCACAGTGCATCATGAACTGTGAAACCAAGATTTTTCTCAGTTATTTGGCTTAGACTCCTTAGAAGATAAATCAAGTGACCTCTCAAAATCGGTGATTCATGAACCATTTGGCTCTCTGTTGCCTGGGCCTCTTACTAGCTGTGCTGTTGAGCAGAAGAAAGAGCAGTGTAAAGCCTGGGATAAATGCCACAGCTTTCACTCTCCACTGGCGGTTTTCTGACCCCATCTGAGGATGGCAGCTGGGCACAGTTTGTTCATACAAAAGTAGCATGTTTCTTCTCTAGTTAAAAAGACAGTTTGGCAGACACTTTGTCACCCTGTTTCTAACTGAGCAGTGCTTGAAGTTTATCGAGGGAAAGATCATTCACAAAACCCAGCTGCAGATTGTGAATCAGCAGTAACCATTTCCTTTTTTTCTGGCCAAGTCCTATCCTATCCAGTGAATGCATGCTGCTGGGAGACTTTGTCATCAGCGATGGAAGCAGCAGGTTTTCTATTGTCACTTAGACAAAATGTCTCTTTAAGATGGGACATAATGGTTTGCAAAGTACTGCAGAAGTACTTCCACTACGCTTGTTTTGATGAACCAGACAGCACAGGGGAAGTTTGAGCATTCTTTATTCAATCAGTTCAGTGTGGAATGATACACCAGCACTCGCTCTATATACAGTCTGTTATGGAAGAGAAAGGGAACTCCTGGACTTTTGCTTTCTGTCCTTCAGCAATTTGAAAGGAAGGCTGCTGTGTCTCAGGGATTTGCTGGATGGAAAGGACCAGTGTTCCATCTTGCTGTTTTGGCATACTCTCAAATTCTGTCTTTAATCAAGACTGATGAATATCCTTTTCTTCTGTAGTTGATTTTCTCCTTTGGAGAAGAAAAACGAACAAATAAAGAGAACTGTTGTCAAAAAAGATAACCATAAAAAATGTTCAAAATTTTCAAACAGAATAACAAAGGATCTCGTGCTGTTCCATGCTGCTTTTTCACTTTCTTTAAGCGCAATTCATTCATGCTGGTTTACTGCTCTGGCTTGGGCAAAACGACGTTTTACTTGTCTGTTGGGTGTGTTCACATACTGTCTGCTGCTGCTGCTACAACTGATGCTGACTGTGATGGCAATTCCTTTCTCTTAAATCAGTAATTCTAGCACCATTCTTATTTCACTCTGCTTTCAGAGAGCTTTCAGGTAGCACTATCTTTGTTTGTAAAACTAGATTTGATCTGTAACCTAAAAATTAAAGATTGAATAGTGGGACCAGGGGCCTTTAAGCTGTTCACTACTTTTATTTTGCTTTACATCTTTCCCTATCAGATCAAGACTATTTGTAGATTTGTGGAAGCTTATGCAAGAGCACAGTGTGCATTTGTCTTAGCCATGAATTTGATCCAGAAGGATCTCATAGGCACTATCCATATTGCCAAAAGCTGCATGCTTACATCCTGTGACGTTTGAAGCGCAACCAGCTCAATTCTTTTCTTTTTTTTTTTTTTTGTTCATTTCAGCCAATTCTTCACGAACCATCCTGGAAGCAAATGAAGAATTTAAGTCCATGTCTGGGACGATTCAGCTGGGGCGAAAGCTGATAACAAAGTACAACCGCAGGGAGCTGACTGACAAGCTGCTCATCTTCCTCGCCCTTGCCTTATTTCTGGCCACTGTGCTTTATATTTTGAAAAAAAGACTCTTCCCATTCTTGTAAAATTCCAAAGTTAAACTGGACTGTTATGAAAGATCAGAAAGGAATAGTGTAATACTGTTAGGCTCATTAGAAAAGGGATATTGCAATAGCTGACAGAGCATTAGGGCAGGCGTGACTTCACAGTGTCCCTATGGAGTTCACAACCTGCCAAAGAAGAGCTTAAATGACCACAGGTTGGGAAGAAATGGTTAGATGGAGGTGTGGAGAGAAGAAGCTCCAATCTGCCTGTGGGTTTGGTTGTCTGGACAGACACTGGAGGAACTGTGCCTCTCAGAGGTGCTGCTTTTACCTCATCCTTTCTTCACTTTACCATGAAATTTACTTTTGTCTTTGGCTTGAAGTGGAAGCTGCATTGATACCCAAGTGCAGAGTGCTTAAAACAAGTGGAAGGATGGAAGAGAGAAACACACATACATTCCATGAATAAACTATTTATTGTATCCATGTAAGCTGGGTTTTGTTTAAGAACAAGGTCTAATGGATTGAAAGAGCCAGAATAACTTCCATGTAGAAGTCCTGCCTAACACTTGCAGCAGTGGGTGCTTCTGAGTTGGTTTTTCCAGGAGTGTAGCACACTTGCTTTGTTCTCTGGTGTTGGGAGGACTGACCAAAGCAAAAATGGAAGCCTCATTTGTTACTATTAATTCATGCAGTGTTGGAGACTTACGTGGTTAACCTGTTGAAATCAAAAGCCTTTTTTGCTTTTCTGTATGAAATAGTTTCAATTTGCAAAGCACAGGCAAATTCTACATTTGAACATTTTTCTGAAAGTTGGTATTTTTCTCAGTAAAATCTCCAACAGTGACTGCCTTTCCTATCTCTTGTGCTCTCATACTGGGATTTGATTTGATGCAATAACATAAATACCAACATACCACCCTTTGTAGTACCAGAAATGCACTGCAGCATTCTTAAAACTACTGTCACTTTCCCCTAACGAAATGGATTCGTTGCTTTCTCAGGGTTGACCAGTAACATTGGTTTTCTCTTTACAAAGTTCTCATGGAATGGTTAAATACTGCTTTAATGTAGCTGCTAGAAGTAAACTTTTAAAAGGCAGTGCTATTAAGAAATAGGGCAGTAACCTCTCAATAGCACATTCAGAGAGAATAGGTGACTGCTGGGTTATCTTATCATTGTAGTGCTGTTTTTTCTAGGTCTTACCAGTGGTACAGTGCACCCTTTCACCAGCAGCTGCTTCAAGCTTAGTTAAATAAGTGAGGAGTGGTAGATTGTAGTATTCCTAACCACTGTGCTGGACAGTAGGATTGGTTGTGTCCATGGACATGAACAGTAGAAGCTGGAATTCATTATCTAGGTCAAAATCAGGGCTTCTGCCTGAAGAGTTGGAGTGTCTGAGTCTTCCTAATGTAGTAAAAGGGATTTGGAAACCTTTGCACTAGGCCTGGTACATCCCATAGAGGGCAGTGCTGCGTGTCTGCCGTGTGCCTTGTCTGTCTCTGGCAGTCCTATGATAGCCAGGCTAGGCAGTATGGTTGTGGCTCTTTCTCTATCGTTTGTTCATCATATTTCAGTGCAGCCTTCCTTATAGCCTCTCCAGAGATGCAGGAGTATGCAAAGATTGAAATAAAGTGAAAATGTCCGTGTTACTTATTAACCCATGTTATTTGGGTAAGACAAATTACTCTGTTTAAAGAAAGATCCATTACAAAAAGTCAGCAAATGTGGGCATTTTGGTAACAATAAAAGCCGTGCTTTGTAACAAGTCTGACAAATAAACTGCTAACCAAGGAAAGCACTTCATCCACGGGTTGGGGCTGCAATGGAGCAGTTTCATCCAGTGTTGCATTCATACGTAGTGCCTCTAGCGTCAGGATAGAACCTTCTCACCCCTTTGTCCTTCTGCACAGGTGTGCAAAAACTTCTGTGTGCATGTGATCTTTGTCCTCCAGCCTTGGAAAGTCTTTAAATAATACTAAAACATAATTTAGAATATAAATACATCTTAAGTAATGATGAGCAATGCAGTTTTATGCAACTTTTTTTTCTACTATTTTCTACTTGCAGGCCAGCTGTAGCAGTGCTGTTCTATGTTTTCAGCCCCATCTCTCTGAGATGCAGTACCTGCAGGTGGTCAGACCCCAGCTGCCTCACTGTTTCCTCCCTGGTGTGGATGCAATATAAAAATAGGTTGTTGCTAATCTCTGAGATACTGGGACGTTAAGCAGATGCTAGAGCTGTGCTGTAAGCAGCAATGCAGTGTGACTGCCTGCAGGAAGTTTCACTTGGTTTATCTTGGCTACGTGCTCCCATCAGAATATTGATGGGCCTTAGAAATAAAGAAGCAGCCTTCTCGTGGTACTGAGGTTAAGTGCACTGTATTTATTGGATGGTTGCTACCACCAGTCTTTGCAAAGGAGCAGTTTTGGGAAACTGAATGTATTAAAAGAACAGGAGTGAACATCTTGTTCTTTTCTCTGTTTTTGCATTGCTGAAATTTTAGCTTTCAGACGTGACTGCTGGAACCAACTGAGAACAAAAAATAACTGCTAAGGACCTTCCCCGGGACATTTATTTTCTGTCACATCCAGATTTCAGTAGAAAAACTCCAGTCCTTTTGTAAATATAGCTACCTTCCCTGCATAAACTGACTTTAAATTTACAGTCTATAGAGACAAAATAAGTGGGGGAAAAAAAGCCAAAGGCAACGACTTTTTGGAGGAGAGGAGAAGCAGCTTCCCCGAGGACCCTGGGGTGATTTGGCAGCACTCAGCACTTGACCTGTTCCTTCCATAGGGAGCCAGAGGCATCCAGCCTCCTGCCGGGCCACAGACCTGGAAACAAAGCAAGTGGAGGTAGCAAGTTAAAAGACATTTTTCCTCTGGAGGAAGATGGGTGTTTTGGGCAAACACCACCTGCAGCACATGGGATCAGTGGTGCCTCAGCGTGCACCTGGGATTGGTACTGGAGCAGAGGTGGGGCTGGTGCTGCATTCAGCCCATATTGCCCACAGCTGGGGATACTCTGACACTGTCCCTCCAGTCTGCAGCATGGTGTCCAGCTACGGACCTCTCTTCTGGCTTGAAGGTAGGTTTTTGTGCCTTGGTTTTACTGAGGAATGGAGTGGGAGTGATGGTAGGAGGTGATTGTGCCTGGCTTTTGTTGTCTATTATTTGTGATGTTGGTTCAGTTAGCCTTGTGTGGCTCTCGTGTGTGTGTAGAAGGGTTCTGTTTGTACCTCCAGCCTTCTGGGCAGTGGATGATGTCTCAGGGCCTTGCTGCCTCTGGTTGTATTGTGGTGGAAGGTAAAAGCTGGCATTGCAGCAATTTATTTCAGAGGCGTAGTGTTATCCAAGGCATTTGACCCTGCAAGCCTACCCTGCAAAGCATAGCAGAAGCTCTGGGGATGGTGAGGACAGCCTTCTCTCCCAAACTGTGTCTGGGGAGCATGGGTTGGAGTGCTGCTGAAACTGGAGTGGGGGGGAGAGAAAAGGGGAAACTCAGGAGTAAGAAAGGAAAAGGTTTCAGAGCTGTGGTTTCTTTGTATGACACTACGTGAGCATGGACACCTCAACTCACCTTCAGTCCCATTTAAGAGGCATTAATTTTGGTGTCAGATGAGCTGGTGCTTGGGCACATTGTTAGTACATGAAGGTGCTGGTGTGACAGCGTTGCTGCCAGTGGTTCAACATAAGTGAATGCACCAAGAGTGCTCCTGCTGCTCTCTGGACCATAGCTTTTCCCAGCAGTATGTGCCAGATGTGGTGGCTGTAAGCTCAATGGTGGATTTCACTGTCAGAAGAGTTACAGCTAAAAAACTTTTTTCTTTCAAGAGTAATACTTCTTTGAAACAAAAATCATGCAACTGCTATGAGCTTAAAAAGGGACTGCAATGCCCTTGCCCTGCAATATGGGGAGCTGAGGCAGGCAGCTGGCAGCAATCAGACGGCTGTGGATTAATGAGCACCTCATCAGCTGAGCCTCATTAACAGTGCACCCTCCAACCCAGCAGGGCAGGAGGGGTTGGAGCCATTTGGAGGGTAATAGTGGTTGGTTGTGCTGGAGCAATTGAGGATGGGGCAATTCTGATGATTTGGCAGATTTAGAAGTAACTTGTTTAAAAAGTTTGCTGGTTTGTGAGTTTACTTACAGAATTAACCACGTGCATGGTGAAACAGTACTAATAAATGTGCTGCAAGCAGATAATGGTAGTGGTTAAATGTGAACCTGAGGGAAATGAATGGAAACGGTTTTAACACACAGTGTAACTGTGCTGGGAGGACTTATTTAATTAGTAAGCTGTTTACATTTGTTATAGTATCAGCAAATACAGGAACATTGCAAGATAACTCTCTGTGCAAAGATAAATGAGGAATGTAATCTTTTTCCCCCTTTCTAAGAATTATGGTGAAGCGTGTATTTGAACTTCTCCTTTCAAAATGCTTTCTGCATAACTGGCTTTACCAAAATGGAAGGGTGAATTCATAGCTTGGAAGTTTCTAAAAATGTCTCTGCCAAACGCATGTGGCTGCTATCACATGCCAAGTGGTCCAGAGCGAGCCAGGCTGGAATCTCTGGGGGCTGAGAATATCCAGGGAGCATGTGCATGCTTGTCTGCAAATATGTTGGGCTCTTCTTTTGAAGGGGGGAAAAAATCAGCTAAAAGTATTTGTAATGGTGTGATCCCACCGGAAGGGAAATCTAAAGGAAATATTTTAATGGGATGCGGTGCCTTTGTTGCTGTAAGGTGGGCTGAGCTCCACACAGAACTGGTGCCTGAGTCTCATTGTTCCTTAAAGGTGGGGAGAGAGCTCCCCAGGCAAGCAGCGGATGTGTGCACAGAGGTGCTCTGCTCTGCTGGCACACACTGACAGCTGCAGCATGGGCTGCTCTTCCTACTCTGGGGGCAAGGGCTGGGTACCCCTAGTGATTTCTTCAGGGTGAAGATGGTTTGATGCAATTCTTTATTTGAGGATAGTCCTTGAGAAAAGGAGCTAATCTTCAAGAAGTACTTTTAATAGGGCTGGAAGGTTGCTGCTGTTCAGTTTCCCTGGTTGTCTGTGTTTCACGGTCTCAGAGTGGTGGAGGTTGGGGCCACCTCTGTAGGTTACAGGTCCAGCCCCTGTGCCAGTAGGACCACCTGGAGCCATGTCTGGCAGCTTCTAAAGGTCTCCAGGAAGGAGAATCTGTGAGTCCTCTGGGCAGCCTCTCAGTGCTCCATCACCTGCACAGTAAAGGAGTCTGTACTGATGTTCAGAGGAACCTCATGTTCTCCCTTACATTTATTGCCCTTGTCCTAGCACTGAGCACCACAGAGAAAAGCCTGGCTCTGTGCTTTCTGCACCTTCCTTTGGGTGTTCCTTGCATTGATGGGATCCCTCTGGCCCTTCTGTTCTCGAGGCTGAAGTGTCTCATCTTTCCAACTGTATTCAGTCCTTGTTTGTACTACGGAGAATGGTATTTTTTGCAGCAGCTGAAAAACAAGTTC